TATATATATGTTAAAATATATGTGACATATATATGTATATACATATTTCATACATATTTTAACGTTCTTTTTTATTAAAAACGAAGACGAAAGTAAGAATTGTAAAGGATGTATTTATACTTCAGTATTTTGTTCTATTTGGTTCAGATAATATTAATTTTTTAAATATTGTTTAAAATTATGTTTATTACTGTGTTTTTTTCATATAAGTGCGAAAGTTATACTTATGAATTTCTAAAATGATGATCAAAAACGTTCACAAATTTTATAAGTACATGTCACTATATTTAGTGATAAATATAAAATTATAAAATTACGCATTAAATGGACAGGTATAATTGAAATTATATAAAGTAATTTCTCGATCCGAAGTTTACGATGATGTAAATTTTAACTGCGATTATTTGCTTCAAGAATTAATAATAGATGAAATTACTGATATGCCATAAAACTTATTAGTGCTTTTAGTATCAAAAGCATTGAACTTTTTGTAAAGAGAGGCTAAATATAAGATAAATAAATAAAAAAATATAAGATAAAATATAAGATAAATATGCAAATATTATTCAAAATTATGACATGTGATAGATTACAAACCTGTCTAAAAAGATCGGCAAGAATATTCCCGCAATCGAAACAATATCACTTGTAACAAATGAAATAGACAATTCTTGGATTTAAGAGAGCATACTTGCTTTGAATTGAAATTGTGAATTGAAATTGTTTCATAATCTTCAGTGTATAATAAATCTTGTAATCTTACGCATAATTCACCGTAATTTTCAAGTACCCTCGTAATCAGTATGCACGCGGAGCAAGAGCCTGCCGCAATTAAGTAACTGGACGTGTAATTTACGTCTAAATCATACAAAATTTATGTCTCAAATTAAAGGATAAAAACATATAATGTTGTAGATTTACGATATTTTTCTTTCAAAGTCTGTAAACCTAAATCATCTCTTTCTTTAATCTCTTTTTTAACCTTTTTTGAATTGATTTTGAAATAGTAAATATCGTTAGATTAACTTTGAAATGTCTCAATTGGTATCATCCTTGCAGTATATAGTAGATAAATATGAATCACCTTCAGAATTCACGTAAATACGCGATATTGTTTGATTTAGTTTAATAGGTATTAGAGGTCTGTCCCGACAGCTTAAAGAAGCAACTAATTTAAGTCACTTGTGATGCTTTTAACATTGTTACAAAGGAAGTTTGAAAAAGAAAAAAGAGAATGAATGTATTTATTATTTCCAGCAGGAATGATGACAATTAAATTTATATTCCATCAATTAAGCAATGAAAACACAAAAGGCAATAGTTGAGCGAAGCTGTGTAATAAATCGTTTCTTTCTCTTAATGATTGAGAAATTCATACATTGTGCAAAACGGTTTAAAAATTTGATTCATTTTAAACTGAAAATTAAATTCTATGAAGCGTGTATTGGATTATGGACTACGCAGGAGGGGGAGTAGGATACATGCCTCCCCCCAAATTTTATCAAGAAGAAATAATTATGAAAATCAATGACTGCGTTCATCATATAAAGCAGTTTCGCACATAACTGTAAAATTATTTGTAAAATTATTTAATATAATTTATTTATACATTTAGATCTATTAAGGAACTAAAAAAAGATCACTGATATAATTTCTAGATTCTTTATTATCTTCATTAAAATAGCGATTACTTGACGAGAATTTACTTTATCATTGTTAGCATTACATTCTTTTATTATATATGTCATTGTTAGCATTACATTCTTATATGTTGGATATAATATTAGAAGATTTAAAAAAAGCACAGTCTTTCTGATCATAATAATTTTTACAATGAACTGCAGTACCACCACTTTCTTTTGAGGGATAAAAACGAATTAAGAAAGAGGAACTTAAAGAATCAGGGTTAGCAGAGGTGTTAAAAGAAGGTTAAACTTTCTTCTCAGTATATCTTTCCTTAGCCCAATCGTGCACAACGAACATCATTAAAAGATTTTTTAGTAGATTGCGAAGAATGAAAATCTGAATGTAGTTAACAATGTTGGAAAATCGCCTCAATGAACTAGTTATATATGTTAAACTATGCTTACGAAAAGAAAGAAGTTGGAAGAAGAAAACTGAAATTCGCTAAAGCCTTCGAAGACTAGCTTTAACATAAGTATATTTTAATAAGTTTTATGTGAAGATAAATTTTTGCCCTCTCCTCTGACTGAAATCCTGCGTACGTCCATTGGATTGATTCATCACATTGCCGATAATCTTTAGATGATTATTTATTGAATACTGTAATCAAGATCTTAAAATTGTAGAATTGCTTTTCAAATTTAACTGAACCCAGCTATTGTAAACAATTAACGAGATATTTCGTTGTATTTTTATATTACGAAATAATAAAATAGTCGGAAAGTATTGACACAAGTAAAAAGTAAGCTTCTATCTTTTACATGACATTTTTTTGTGAAATGACATATAGATACTATATTGTTATTATATTAATTAAACTGATAAGGAACGAACAGTCACAAATTTAAAAAGATTTTGTGAACTAAATTTTTCTGAATTAGGCCAATTGTAGTTATTTCTTGAAAATTTAAGTTGCGAAGTAATTACTGTTTAGAATATATGTTTGCATTTATTTTAATTATTTTTATCGTTGTAATAAATAAAATTACTAATGCAACAGTGAATAAAATTATTCTTTTTTTCTTCTTTTTCAGTCATTTATGAAGAAGAACCAATGTCATTCATGACATTCCAGCAGGCGTCGACATGTTGTTATGTCCCGCCAACACAGATCTTGCACACACCATACAAGGAACAGCTTGATGAAACAAAATCACAGTATCCACTTCTGAATTTGGAATACCCATCCCAAAATTTTCCAGTTTGGTCCTCTAATTTCTCATCAATGACAACAACAAATATGTCTCTTGAAACACTTAAATCTCCTTCTGAAGTATCTGTTAAATCTTTTGATCCTTTTATTGATTTTTCTGCTGGGCCTTCTACTGATTCTCTTACCGAACCTCTTCCTGATCCTCCTATTGATCTTTCTACTAAATCTTCTACATGTTGGTAAGTCTATTTTTATCTTATTTTTTGGACTTTTGATAAAAATTTATTATATAGACATAATCAGTTATAGACATAATCAGTTGATTTAGTATTAAATATTTGGATACTGAGAAATCCTCTTATTATTTGTCAGTATGCAAGGCGTCTGATGAAATCGAATTTGTTATAAATATTAAGTGTGTGGAAAAAGATTAATTTTCGGTTTTTAGAACATAAATCGTGATCTCTCCATTATTCTTGGTGCTTTTTCTTTGTTTGGATCATGAGAGATATCGAGAGAAAGAGAGAGAAAGAGGGAGGGAGGGACAGAGTCGTAATGGGAAATTCGGTGCACATAAAACAGATTCTAAGCTATAAAATTTTCTTCCTTCCGAGAGTTAAGCAGACTGCGATATTAAGTAAAGAGTCAAGGACATTGGACAAAGGGCTGCTCATCTGTCCATTGCTTCATCTCTTTCTTTATCATATGACATTTTTTTATTTCCCTTAAATTCTTGACTTTTAGCATCTGTAATTATCAAAAGCAATTATTTTTTTATTCGTCGTGCTAATATAATCGTTGCATAATACTATCAAAGATCAAATTCATCTGTTGAAGAATTGTAATCAGTATCATTAGCAACTGATTTTGAAAGATTATGAGAAGCATTGAGGCCGCCAAATTGTATTAATTTACATCTTTAGAATAAACGGCAAATTATATAGTGACTTTTATATTACATTTTTTTCCAAGAAATCTTTATTAGTATCAAGTTTGCGAATATCTTCAAAACAACCGCATAGAGCGTGCGGAAATTCAAAGTCACCGATGCGTCGATTGTTTCTCCTTTCCAGCTGCAGCTTAAATGCTGGCGACACTAAAGAATCGAATTTACGAGTGTTGGTTGTCAGTTTTCTCCATCCCATGCTTGTTCACGGCGATACTCGGTTATCGTTCTTACTAGGCAATTTGAAGAAAACAACTTTTGCTATATATGAGAAAGCAGGACTCAAATCCGACGCCAGTTGGCTATCTGGGATTACGCGTGTTGCCTTAAAGATAAGCTGTCTACGGTATTTACATTTAATTCGTTCTCATATATTTGCTGGCGCCTCAAGAAGATTGCAGCAAGTCTTGATTAATTGCTGATACATTCTAGGAATTCTCGTATTTCGCGTAGTTTCCATATTTAGATAAACTTCGAATGAATGCATGTGTGTGTACATATATTTATTAAATGATTAATCACAAAATTTATACATCCAAGAAATGAATTTTAAATTGAAAAATCGTGAGTTTCCGTACATTTAAATTATTGTTTTTTATTACATAAATCTGTAGAATTACATTAATTAATTTAAATCTTTTTTTACCTTTACATTTACTAAATAAAAAAAATTAAAAATTAATTATAAATTAATTACTAAATAAATAAAAAAATTGTTTTAGATTTTAAAAATGATATATTACTTTTAAATTTTGTATTACTTTCTTAAAATTCAAAATAAATAACACAAGATTGTCCCTGAAAAGAGACAATCTTGTGTTATTTATAAATGATAGTGATGTTTTATTTAAAAAAGAGTTAAAAATTCTCAGTTGTACACGATTTTCTCACATCTGTGCTCGACAAAATTCTATAAAAAATATACAATGATATAAAAGAAAAGAAGAATAAATTTAATTAAAAGGTATTCTTCGAACTAACAATAAGATACGTCACAACAGGATGTTCCTTTTCTTCTTTTAACAAAGAGTTGACAAAGAAAGTGGCGTGCTAATATAGTCACGAAATAACACACGATATAGCATAGAAATACAAGGGAGTGAGATAGTGATCATTATAAAGTTGAAAAGGAATCATAAAATATTATCATACAAAATAATGTCATTAAAATGTTAATATTGACATTCTTCTGTTTAGATTAATATTAGTAGGTATTTATTTATGGTTTACAATTTATGATTTACATTTATGGTTTTTCGAATACTCTAATCACTTCCGGCTATTTAAACAACCAATATCGATAATTCTTATACATAGACAAATATTCTATTTCTAAGAAATCATTCTGTTTCTAAAAAAAATGATGAATCAATTTACTTTCTTCTTTTTAAGTTACGATTATCTTAAATATTTTCTTCTAAATAATTAGTTTTATTTTAGAAAATTTTAGAAAATCATTATTATACACTCAAAACAAGAATTTATTTTCTTGTGAAGAATATTATAATTATATATATATTGCTCGAATAAGCTTTATACAACAAGCAAATCGAATTGTCTTAATTTAATAATCAAATTGAAGTAAACTTGTGATTAAAAATGAATTAAACTGTGTGAATTAAACTTACTAAGACTCAAAATATATTTTGATGCTTTTGATAAATTTATTTGTGATAGATTTGCAGATATATGAATTTTTTAAATATTTGAAACAAGTAATTATTACTTGCATATGTATTTTTCTGTGTATGATACTATACATGTATATGTCCATATATGTCTAAATTGAGAAAAAATGAAGATACTTCTTCGTATATAATATATAATTATATTTGTACAGATATATTTCCTCAAACAATATCTTTGTTTTTATCATGATGCATGTTTCATCATACTATTCATTTATGCAAACATCTCAATCTTCTGGTAGCAGTTATATTTAAGCATTCATGATATTGATAAAAATCGTTGATGATCATTCGTGTCTAAAACTCTGAAAGATTTTTGTGATGCAATAATCAGTTGCTCTTATCATATGAATTATTTAATAGTGATACGATTGAGTATGTGTATATATGTATATATAAAACAGACAGAGGAGAGGGAAATCCAGATCGAATGCATGCAATCCGGGCGTCAAGGGCGCATCAACATTACGGCTCGCTAAACAGCACACGGCGATACCCGCGATATGAAAATTGAAGCGGTAATTAAAATATCGGCAAGGTTTGTCGGCTATCTCGAATACTGATTGCTCGTGATTAAGGCTGTTAAAAATGAGTCGGTTTCTTCATGATCACTCGCTCTCCGCATTGATTCTGCACTAGCCTGAACAGTGAAATCCGATTATCAATCACGCATTCTTTGCTTGTTTGTATAATGTAAATGCACGCGCGCGCGCGCACGCACGCACGCACGCACACACACACACACACACACACACACACACACACACACACACACACACACACACACATATATATATACATATATCTCTTTTTTTTTATGCGAGAAGCCCGGACTTCTATTGGTTTTCTATGATTCTATTGGTCTTCTTGATTATTATCGTTATATATTTTTGAAAATTTTCGCAACACAAATTATAGCGCAATAGATATAATGTCGTATTTCGATGTTTCTTTTTGTATATGAGAAAATATAATCACGTAATATATTCGTGTGATACATAATTTTTCTTGATATTTTTATTTTAGATTGTAGTGTGAATCGATTCAGCGAAATATTCTCGGTAATCTTTGCGTGCGGCGGACTCATTAGAGCCATTACATACGATAATATATAATACTCGTTTCTCGACTTATCGGCGCAAAAAAATCGATCATCGCAGATTTAATGTCACATATACGATAAAGGATTCGTGATAACTTCTAATAGTTGCAGCAAGCGTTCCGCGAATCGTTGAAAGAATTAGTCCCGCTTTTGCAGTAAGCAGCATCAATGTAATCAGACAGGTTGCTCAGAGTGACCTTAACGACGGTCGTAAACGCGGTTCTCTTTACAGCTCGATGGATATTTTTTTTACGATGCTTCTCCTTCTACCTTGTCATCATCGTCGCTGCTTTCTTATTCTCCTTAAAGCCCTTTCTACGTTTCCCATTGCCGCAAAGCCGTAAGTGAGGCGCACTCTTCTGCTTATTTTGCTCTGGGTACAATAAACTACCAAAGTTTATGTGACAGATGTTAGAATGAAATCGAAATAGCGGAATGTCAACAATCTAACTTAAATTCTCACACATCTATTTTTAGTAAGTAAGTTTTTAGTAAGTTAATTATAATTGCCGGATAAAATCACAATATTATTTTCAATTAATTGCTTTGGATAACCAAACCCTAGTATTAATTAGCCAAAGGCTAATTAATCATATTGCGTGTTTCTGATGACTTACATAATCACATTGTTGCTCTCATTAAATTTTTTATTTCTTTATTTTTACATAATTTTTACTCAAATTATATATAGTGATGTCTCATAGATTTTTTAAAATATCGTTTTTTTTTTCAGATATTTTGTGTATCGAATAAATAAAATTTGTATACACTTATATATTATTAAATTTACTTTTCTTATATGATATTTTTATGTAATGTATACATGTGTACCATATACTCTTTTGCATAAAATAATCGGATCCAATATGGATGTGTATTCAAAATTCTCTATTCTCTATTTTTTTTAGATAATCATATGACTGATTAAAAAAATAGTAGTAATAACTCGTGCAGATTATCCGTTTAATTAGATTGCATCAATTTATTTATTCTGTTTTCGGTAAAATAAAACACAGAATGCCGTTGTCGTGATGTAATAATAATTGCTTCCTAAAATCACTAAAAGATAGTTATTAATTTTAATAGTTCATGTTATTGTATTGTTTATATTTGTTTTTATTTGTTTATATTTTTGTCACAATTATTATATATTATTGTTTACATTACATATTTTTGTTTTATTTATAATATATCAAAGAGAGGGAACTATTTGTAAAATCAACATGGCTAATTTAAGCAATACCATGCTCACATAAATATGATTTTTTTTTATTCTTTCGGTACTTATTTTTTGTTATTTCAGCTCATGAATTCATCTGCTAAATATCATGAAAATAAATATATAAGTAAATAAATAAATAAATAAATAAGTCCTTTGTTTGGAAAAATATTCTTTGTGTATTTTTATATGTCAATTAATATATCAATATATTAATGAGCTTATAGTCTTATAGATATTAGATTACTTTGGGCTTTCTATTTAATGACATAAGTCGACACAAA